CACTAAACTCTTTCAGGACATAAAAATATAACAAATCTGCCACTCAGAAGTTCTACTGGACCAAAATACTTATTATGGGCTCTTGATGTTTAACCACCTGTATGAGTTAAAAATTGACGTAGTGGTGCTTTGTTTCCTGTTTACTGACTTTTCTTCCTTTTCTTTGTTATGTTCCAGGGCCCGGTGATATACGCCCAGTTGGATCACTCAGGCAGCAAAAACTCATTCCATAAGATGGAGCCAGTGGTCTACGCTGACATTCGTAAAAACTGAAGAGTAACTGGGGACCAAAAAAAGAAATAAAACACAGTAATGTATCAGACCTCTCTATCAGCTGCTCTTGGGAAGGGTGGGAATATTTCAACAGGGACAGAAATTGGTGCAGTTTTCTTTATATCAATCTCTTGTCCTCTGAAAGCATGACGTTATATGATAAAGTGATGTCTCCGTGTGCTTTATTGTAAAGACAAAAAAAGCTAAGGAACACTCTAGTGGAAACTACATTACTCCAGCAGTCATCAGGATTGTTCTAAAAAAAAAAAATCTGAATGCCTTCATAGATATCATTCCACACGTACAAATATTTTATTTTATTACAAAAAGCTTTGTTTCACAAAAGGTCCTGCAGGTTGTTGCACCAGCTGAACATAATTCAACTTCATTTTAACCTTCTTTTCCCACTAAACTCACTACTTTGTTCAGTTGCACCGTTACTACTTAAGCTACTAATATCTTAACGAAGTCGACTCTAATCAAAGTATCAACGCAGAAACTAACACGACTAACGAGCAACATAAAGGGAGAGATTTAAAAAAACAAATAGTATCCTATCATGTGAACTAGCTAATATATGTTTCAACACGCGTTTGTCTGAATCACCTCATTATTTATCACCAAACTATAGTCTAATCCAAGTGACGTTAACTGTCCTGCAGAATGCAGTGTGCATTTTCAGTATCAACTTAAGTGTAAAGGGATGCTGTCTGTCACAAGGTGCTACCTTAATCAGTTAATTTAATATCAAAAGAAAAGTTAAGCTGGAAAGACACTGTACAATTTTATTAATTGGCCTTTCTGTTTCTTCATTATTTGCGTGCTCACGCTCAACGTAAACACAGAAAACTGGATCAATTCCAACGCAAACGAGTATTAATTTGTGCAATGCTACTTAAAAAATATGGACAAGCTTATAGCTGGAAACACTGGAAGAAGTCTGTTCAGACACCCAACCAATCGTCTGACAGTCAGATTGTTGAAGCAGTTAATCAGAGGTTGTGACTCCTCATAATTGACATCAGATGACTGACTGCCTCTCTGATTTTTAAAATTAGCCAGAGGAGACCAGTTTGGGTTTAAAGGGGAACTCTCACAGAGTTGTACACTTGTGTTAGGTTTGAAAAACAAAATAATAATCAGGGGACGTGGAGAAAAAAAGTGAGGGTACCCGACATCTCTGCTTGTGGCTCGAGGCTCCATTAGACTCTATGAGCGTAACACACCTGAACCGCAGACCTAAAGGAGCGTTCCATCTCCCTCGAAAGTCCGAAGTCTGAGCTGGGAATGCCATTACACCCGAGTTGGACTGTAATCCTAGAAGTTGGAAAACCAAGTGCTAGCCAGAAGTGGGACAGTGAAGTCTGTGTACGACATATTTAAAGAGAAACAAAAGACATAAGTCATCTTGGATTGTGAGGTCCGGCTTAGTGAGGTTTTTCTGACTTTCCTAGTTGAAAATCCGACTTCAGGGGGGCGTTCCAGTCGCAATGTCCGACCGGGAACTCAGAAATTCCCAAAATTCAAATGGAATGCACCGAAACAGATGGTGGCCGAGTTGCATTGTGGGTAATTGAAGGAAGAATAATGCGTCAGATAGTGTACTGTACAGTGTCTGTCCAGCTTTACACTTTAAGTTATGTCTTAACTCTTAATGCTATGTTGTAACTAATGTTTCTGCTTCCATAATTCCTAAAAATGACATTCCAAGTGAGCTTCGTTTAAGTTTACACACAGCTGGTGCAACAGGCTGCTGCTGGGCACTTCCATCGTGATCTTGTTTTTTAGGGGCGTATAATGTAGACTTTACATTGCCTTTGGTATCTTTGCATGCAGTTATAATGACACCTACACTCTTAAATTTGGTACTCAGATAGTTGTAAAAGAGAAGAAGCTGTCTGACGTTGTATTACTGTGAATGCTTCAGTTTTCCGTAGAGTTCTGGCATGTTTTGTGGTACCTTTTTTTTTTTGTTTTGTTTTTTTTTTTTTTTGTTTTAAATAAACTGCCTCCCATATGTTTTTTTCACCTCAGAGGAACATCTTTAACAAGCTCTTGTCTCCTGCCTACTTACTTTTTCAACAAATTCTGGGTGCTCTAAGTGTCTGTTTGATTTCATTTTATTTTTAAAAAGTGAATATGAACACAGGCAATGCAACCCAGGTAGAGTTTTGTGTTCTGCATCACACTTTAAGATGCTTTTCTGCCTGTTTGTAGGTGTGAAAAATATATAAGTTTGCTGCTAGTGGTGATTACCTGGGCAGTTTTCAGCTTAGTTATAAGTCATTTTCAAACGTGCATGTTAAAACAAAATGTTCAACTGAGGTGAAATATCTCCTATGAAAACTGGGAGCTCTCAAATGCTAAATACACTGTTTGCATGCAATTTACTAACATAACACTCATTATTATGAAAATATCCGTCCTCTTTTTCATCTATGTATTGTGTAAAGCTCTTTTTTTTTCAAAACTAATGGGCCAAATATATTAGGTAAGTTTTTTTCAGATGCTTTTAAGCTTTAAAACGCATTCCAAATTTGTGTAATTTTCTTTTGTCTTGAAAAAACATTTAAAAGCCAAATTTTATGTTGTAATTTTCTTCGGTGACCTATGAGAATGATATTTGTGTTCAGTCTAAATGCCTTCAGCTTCCGCTCGTGATTCCGAATGCAGTAAGTTTCCATGTTGACCAGTATTTGTATATATTTCTTGCTCATGTAAGATATAGTGCTGTTTACTGTAACTCATTCCAGTGTGGTATGGCTGTGGATGTCTTTCCAGAGAAGGAGAGTAGTTTGCTGTAGAGGTCTAGAAAGTTGGTGGCTTTTTTCTCTCTTCTTTTAGTCTTAATTATTTGTCACCGTACGCTCAAATATATACAGTGCCTGCAGGAAGTGTTGAGCCTGTCGGTTCAAAATGGCTTCAATTAAATTTTCTTCAGTCAAAAGTGTGCACAGAAAAACACAATGTGACGTTTTTTGAGTTTTAAGGCCCTGTTCGCTTCAGTGCCTCACGTTAAATCCATTGCTTAAAAGTGAAAGAAATCACATGATGATATCGTTGAACTTTCAGTAACTTATTTCTTTGGTCACTTGTTAACAGTTGCAGTTACAAAGCAACATTATCTGGCTCTTGAGCTGCTAAATGCTCAAATTAGTTCACCAGACAGTCTCTAACTGTGTCTTTTTAGCTGAAAACGACACTGTGAGAACTGTAAAGTGGTGCAGACAGTTAAACAAACACTATAAAGCTCTGTAAAGCTCTGTTAAGCAGAGTGGAACTGCAGGTTCACCAATACGTTCACATATTTGTCATATATCTTGTCATTTTATAAGGATATCATGTAAAAATACAAATTCTAGCCGCTTTAAAGACATCCAAGATGGTTCTAAGCAGGGTCGATTGTATCATTGTGAATGTCGCTGATAATGTAGATATGTATTGCCTTTATTTAGCCAGTTTCTGCTGTGCTCTCAATATGTACCTTACAAGACTAAAAGTCTGTAACCGTAATGGCTGTAAGCTCATTACGCATTATACAAGTAACAAGTTGCTCTTTAACATGCGTCATAGTAACATGCCAACATTGGGTGTCTTGGCTTAACAATTTTGCAAACATTTAGCATGTTAGCAATAATAATAGTAATGATAAGATGGCGGGAATTCAGTTGTTTTAGAGGAAATGTAGAAAGAAGTGATCAGGATTCACCCTCTCATCCTTTGGAGACCATGAATGTGTTTATTAATTATAAATAACTGACATGACTGCGTAACTCTGGCCACTATTATGTGTACTGTAATGTTATTTTCAACCATACTCTCCTGACTTAACCTAAAAGTCCTTCAGAGTTATTTCAGTTGTTTTTTCTGGCAGAGTTACGCTTTAACTTATTTTAAACTGTCCCTACGCGGGAGCTTGAGTACTTATTTACTCAGAGCGTGTTTTCATTTATAACTACCTTCTGAAAAATATTAATTCAATCCATTTTGACTGTGGCTGTGACACCACTCAATGCAGGCACTGTAGTCTTCCAGATTAGTTTTTTATCTTCAATGTAAAAGTCTTTTCTGTTGGTTTCTGTTGGTTTGTTTTGTTTTAGTAGTTAGCATGAATTTCAATGTATTCACCAACTCAAAAAAGAAAAAAGAAAACAACCTGTATGATACCGACGAACCTTTTACTGCTGGTCGCTTTGCTCCTAATTGTGACTTGTTGCAGTGTTTAGTGCTGTTGTAGAAATTGTGATGTAAACTATAAATTATGAAAGATTTCCAGCTTGACCAAGCTCTACGCGCAAACGTTTGGTGTGTTGGTGTCTTTAAAAAGTTGTGAGTGAATGCAGGTTGCAGAGTTCACTCCACTCCTGACGAGTCTTAAAGTGCGTGCTTAGTGTTTCTCGATGGTAAATAGTTGTGTGTTATTTGAGATTTGTTTGGTATGTTATGTTGTAAAATCTGCACTATGTCTTGCATATCAAAGACAACAAATTCCCTGTGATTTTTCTTTTTTTTAATTATTTTTTGTTTTCGTTCATCTCGGAATGACCTTTGGCCTCTGTTTAACGTCTTTAAAACTGGAATGTTGTACATTTAGTGCCTTTTACATTTCATCAGCTAACTTGAACATCTGCTCCAAATAGAAAATATAAGATTCATTTATTTTCCTTTTATTGTACGTATTTTTTTATACACATAATATCGCCTCTGTATCCACTGTTCAAATTTTATATAAAACCTATTCCTGGCCAATTACATGTGTGTTTGTTCTGATTTATTATATTCTCACCGAAACCTGAGAAATTTCTGTTTGAATTAGTTTTTTCCTCTAAATAAGACAAAGACACAAATATTAAGCTATTAAATCATAATTAATGGTGAAACAAAGATGCTAGCAGTGACTTTATATTCATATTTGTTGTCACAGGAGGATTCTTCCCTGTTATGTGATCATATTTTCTCTTCAACATTAGCCTACAACCATAGAAGTAGAGGTGAAATTGGCCAAATTGTAAAGAATGACAGGAAAGACGACATACGTCAGATAGTGTAATTTATTAAGCTTTGCTGATCTTCCCGGGTTCCACATAATAAAAAAATAAAGCACCAATACAATCATCAGTATCAATAAATGCTTTAAATACCCACTTAGAAACCAAATTAAGGAAAGAATGCATCAAACAAGCAGCTTAATGACAACTAATTACAACAAGCACTCATCTAATTATCTAACACTGATTGATATCTTGTTCCATTCTGCAGAATATCGTTTAAAATCAACAATTATATGCTTCTTTCTTTAATAACGGCTATTATAGATCAATAAAAACAGTATTATTCAGATGCCAAATGTTTTATTTACATTTTAAAATTGTTCTGGCCCCAATAAGAAGAATAATTAAATTATTAAAACTTTCATTTAAAGGTGATTCAACACTTTTTGAACAGTAGTGGACGTTTTGAAAGGTCAGTCTTGGGTTAAATGATAACTAACGAACGGGAAGTGATATGTTTATATTATCCTGTACCAAGTGTAGACAAAAAGGTGCATGGTGATGTCCAATGCAGTTAGACCAGAGGCATCATTATATCTGCTGCATCCCCAGTAATAATTCTACACTTTTTGGCAGTTTATAGTAACGTTGACAGCAGAGACATCAAGTTTGGGGAGAGAGAGAACAACGGGAACCGGAATCGAACTGAGGACGTTGTAATTACATGTTAGACCACTTAAAGCTAACCCTGACGCCACCCAGGCTGTTTTTATTTTACAGCAAGCATGTGAGAGTCAGCAAACTGTCACTTCCTACGTTCTTCTTTTATGTTTTACAGCAGAGGTTCCCAGAGTTTTATTGTCCGACGTCCTCCAGCAGCCCCCGTCAGAGCCCAACTACATCTACACTGACAGCACTCGTTACTTGGTTGATTAAAACTATATTATACATATAAAAGTATATAATAACATATATAATATTTCATACAATTAAATAAATGTTTTGGTCTATTTGGTGGAAAAAGTACTCAAATCTTTTACTTAAGTAAAAATACCACAGTGTAGAAATACTCTGTTTTAAGTACAAAGTACATAGGCATGAGCATCAATATACTTAGGAAAAAGTACTTATTATAATTATTTTATAATCATGTATACTATAATATGAGATTGAAATCATTGATGCATTAATGTGTACTTGCAGCTGATAAATAAAGGGATAACTTTTTGTCCCAGGGATCAATAAATCTCTATGTTATCTGAATCAGTAATAATACATCATATTTTATATGCTGATTGTATTTTATATCAATAATATGTAAATATTTGTTAAAGTATTTGCCTCCAATATGCAGTGGAGTAGAAGTATAAAGTAGTGTTGTTATTTCTACTGAAGTAAAAGTAACATCACAATTCCTGCATTTGAAATTCTACTTTGAAACAGAAGGACAGTTTCAGTACAGAGGTATTACGAACAAAATGTGCTTTAAAGCGTCAGCCTGGAACAATAATGTGCGTCTGACATGTTTTTTCCATGTTAAAATCATTAAAATGTCATCTACTCTTTCGACCTCACAGAATCTATGAATATGCAAATGTTCATTTCTGTAGTTTTTCTATGATGTCACCAAATCATGCTCGTAAGGCCCCGCCCCCTAAAACGATCTCATGATGTTCAATGAGTGCAGAGAAAGTTTCCACTTTCAGCAGACGAATATAAAAACATCCTTTTAGTGTCAAACTCTGCACAGACATCATTCAAACATCTCACTGTAGATAAACTTAAAGTACTTACTATGTCTTACAATTATGGATCGTTCAAAGTCCACAAGATAATCATTTGTACAAGTTATTAAGGGGTGCAACGAGATAACAAACACAAAGGTATACCGGGACTTGAGGGACTTTCCTGTTGGTTATAAATAAATACATGATGACCTCACCAGACCTTTAATCTGTAACTGCATCATATTTAATGAGT